CCGCGCACTCCTTGGCCTGGTGTCTCCGGCACAGATGCAAACCTCGGTGGGCACCATGCTCCTCACCGCGGCCCGCCAGGCGTTGCAGGTGGGAGGACGGGGAGGGGAAGGAGAAGGAGAGAGAGAGGAATGGAAACAGCATCCCCACGAGCAGGGGGCCACGAAGGGAGGAAAGGGCGCCAGGCCTGCGTGTCTGTTATCGGGGAAGGCCCCCTTTCGGCCTCCACAAGCCATGCATTACCCTCACCTCCTGTACCTCCCCTCCCTCCTTCCCTAACCCTCCCTTTCCTCCTCCCTCTTTGCCTCCCTCTTTCCTTCTCTCTTTTCCTCCTTCGGCATCCAGGTCGACTGTGTCTTCGTGAACGGTGGCAACATCAGGGCGAGCGTGGCTTACCCTCTCTCACAAAAAGTCTTCACCTACAAGGACCTGAAGGTGCGCCCCAAGAAGGAACAAAAACATGCCTTTATATATATATGTATATATACTATGTATCAGGAATGCGGGGTTGCTTTGAATGGTCATTTATGCAGAGCCTTCTTCGTCTTCCCTTCTCTCTCCTCCTCCTTTCCTTTCATTTCCGATCCCCCACTTTCCCCTTTCGCTGTAGGCAGAAATCCCTTTCCCTTGCGAAATGGTCACCGTTCGCCTACCCGGATCTGTCCTCTCCTCCCTTCTCCAGTATTCTCGCCAATTTGCCCTCCTGGATCCCCCCGTCGAGAAAGGGGGCTTCTTGCAGGTATGTCAGCGTTTACGCCTTCATACCCCTCCACCCCTCTCGCCCTCTCGCCTTGCGTTTCCTGTCCCAGGGGTCTAAGAGACGTGCTGGCGTTCGTCTCGAGTCAAGCGAGGCACCACATTCTCTCAGACAGACGACCTTCCCTCTCCCTCCTCTCCTCCCTTCCTCCCCCTCCCCCCACCTCCTGTAGGTGGACGAAGGCGTCCGCGTAGACGCTTCCACGCACGCGATCACCCACGTTCAAGGCCGGCCTTTGGAAGCTTCTAGAATGTATTCCCTGGCCACTACCTGGGGGGTGGTCTCTGGCATCGATGATTTGCGCCCCATTCTCGGTGAGAGGAGCGAGCTTTCGAATGCAAAGGCAGGAAGGCCTGACACTATCTCTTTTCGCCGATTGTTTGAGGAAACGTTGGAATTGCCAGGCTGCTGCCCAGGTGGACATAGGTACGCTTATGGTGCCCCTGATCCCTTTCCCCGAATCTCTCCTATTTATCCCAGATTACCGAGAAGCACACCCGGAGGCGGTTTTCCCTACCTCGGCCGAGGCCGGGCGGGGCTTGAAAGAGGTGTTGGTCGCGCACCACAGCCGCATGCTCTGGTGGGACCTGGCGAAGCACGTCGGGTTCCGCGCCATGGACACGGACGGTGACGGGGTCCTGTCCCAGAAGGAGGTGGCGGCTGCGACACAGGTACTGGTGGAGGGCGGGGCGCGGGAAGGGGGAGAGGACGGGGCGGGGGAATGTCGGTGGTGGCGGATGTACGTTAAAACCCGCTACATTTGAATCTTTCGAAGGTAAAGTTGCATTTTAACGGCCGCAGTCTGGCGCCTAAATCGTGCGACCGACCCAGCAAGGGATGGTGGGAAGGAGACACTCTTGACCTGTCTGCTGCATTTATATTGCCGGAAACCTCCTGGCTATGTTCTTCTACCACGACTGTCCGCTTTTATGCGTGTCGTTGGACGGAAAAGCAAAGCTACCGGGGCAAAAAGCGTCCTCACCCTCCCTCTTCCTCCTTGAACGACGCTATCCTACCTCGTGACAAACCAACAGGCCTGCTATGGGGAGGCCCTCTCGCGCCTGGTGGTAGCCAATTTGATGGCCACCGCGGACTTCGATGGGGACGGAGTCATATCGGTGAAGGAGTTCATCCGCATCTGCCTCTCCCAGGAGGCCGCGTTCCAAGACGGCGACACGGACAACGACGAGCGCCTGAGCTTCGAGGAAGTCTGGTCGTTGTTGAAGGCGCACTATGACGGTAACAGCAATGGGAGCCACACTCCCATCCGAGCGGCAGGGGAGGGGAAGGGTTTGACAGAGGCAGACGTCCGAGAGATGTATGATGAGATTGACTCGGATAAAAGGGGTGGGATCAGTTGGGCAGAGTTTCGAGAGCACATGGCGCGACAAAGGGAGCCCACCGCCCTGGTGATTTGAGCGCTAAGTGATTTCAAAGGGTAGCTCAGAGTGATACGATATTTGGAATGCAATGTACACGTATATGGCCGAATTCGAATTATAGCCTACAACTCTCGCTTCAGAGCATCTTGGATTATTTTGGGTACATTTCCTTTCAAAAGCGCTGCCTGATGAAGTATTAACAGCCTCCAAAAGTCTGTGCTGCCTATAAGTCACCTTCCTTAAAAATTAAATCACATTCGGATGTATCTTTCCTTCGAAAGAGTATGTTCTACAGCTCTGGAGGGAGACCCTGCTCCGTCCATGGAATCGTGCCGTAGAAATACTAACGCCTAGCAAGTTTGCGAAAGCCTTGCAAAAGACGCAATATACATCAATACGGAGATTAATCAATAAATGCAAGTCCACGGACGTGCAAGAGGGTACACCGACAAGTTTCTTGTCACTGGTCCTAGATTAGACACCAGTGATAAGGAACAAGATGGAACGTACGAGCGAGAGTGCTGTCCGCTGCCAGTCCCCATCCCCCGTCCTGATTTGCTGGCCGTCATCGAGCAAATTTACACGCTCTACAGTGAGTTGGTCGCTGGCAAAAGGTTATATTGTCGGTGGGAGGGCACTGATATACGCTAGTAGCTCACGATTACGTTTGTGTCCCTTTCCGCAGGGCTTGGTCCGTGACAAGATTACAGCCACACCGCCATACCACCGTCAATCATGCTCTCTTGTCTTGCTTCTCGTACGCTTCTAACGGGGCACATCAGCAAGATCCCTGAAAGGCCATTTCACATGATTTTAGTGGCTACGAGAAAGGCTTTTAAAAATGTTATTGGGGAGGATAGCGGCAGAATATTTATGTCGGATTTGGCACGGGCTACGGCTACTTGCAGACGCGTGTCTTCTGTTTCTATTCATCAGCATATATGCCAACGACCGTATAAGCCGCAGCAGACGTATTTGCATATCCCTATGCGCAAATTTTCATCGGCCCCTCCCTCTCCCGCTGAAGTTTTGTCGGTGAAGAAAGAGAATGGTGGGTAACCCTTGTCACTACCTATCTGCCATTCCCTTCACAACGCTCCTATCTCACGTCGTACGTCCCTCGGTCCTGTACGCAGGAGGAGACTTTGCTGGACAGCCACAGCGCACCTTGTTGACGAAGCTTCAGGAAGATGGGGCCTCTCCTCGGGTACTGTGGGATGCCTTACAAGAGAAATGCAAGGTAAAATGGGGAGAGGAGACACGGATCACGGCATAGACTGATCTGCATAGCAGTGAAATGCGAATGCAGGCTTTCGGGCGTGTCTTTTGAAGGCCGCCATTACGTCAGCGTTTTTATGCGTAAAAACGTTTTTCTCCGTTGAACAGGGCCAGAAACTCCCTCGCCGACAAGACCTGCACGCACTGTTCCTTTCCGCCTCCAGGAACAGCTCCCCCGAGGCCAAAGAGAAGGACAAAGCACTCCTATTATCAGCAGTGGACCTTTTCCTATATAAAAACGTCGAGTTCAGGGAAGCCTCTGCCTCCCTCTTCCTTCGGGCCATGCTGCGCTTGGACGGATTGGGCGAAGCGGTCGACGCCTTGCTGGCGCGGGAAAAGAGACTGGGGCTGTGGGCGCAGCGGAAAATGTTGCACATGGCATTGCATAGGTGAGAGCCTCTGGAGCCGAAGAAAGGGGAAAAATTCGTTTGTGGGATTATCAGTGGTTGTTTAAAAAAGTATTTGTTGATCCTTTTAATCCTCCAGGCTGGGCGTGGCCAAGGACACAGAGCGACTCTTGAAGCTTTTTGATGCCATGGAGCCTTTCATGAATGTGAATCGCAGTGCCCGGTACGGTTAAAAGAGGGAGGGTCTGCTAGCAGATATATGTGTTTGAAGGTGGTGACGGCAGAGTGAATCCTTTTATTTACGCCTTACAAGCCCAGTGACTTAAAGATACGCATACCAATATACCACGTCACTCCCCTCTCCAATCGCACATTTTTTAAAGAACGTACCATCTGGTCATACGGGGTCTTGTCAACGCCGGACAAATAAAGAAAGCGTCGGAAATTGCAGGGCAAGCAAACATTGTTTTGGCGGACAGTACACAAGAATTGCTTAAAAATGCCATGATAGCAGAAGCAGCTGAGCAAAAAAAAGGAGTGGAGATGGAAGAGGGGAAAGACACAGACAAGGAAGAGGGCCAAAAAATTGACTAACACTATTTTTTAAGGGATGGTTTGAATGTATGTTTTTGGGGACACTTGTAAGCCCAGAAATAACCACTAGCCCCAAAATTCACTAATGTACATTATTATAAGATAGAGAACGAGGTAAGGCTAGACTATTCCTTTTCGACGCAGTGTCGAATGACAGGCTGGGCAGCAAGGCGCAAGGCGGCGACACTAGGGGAGGTTAACGGGGAAAGTGCCATAAAAGAAGAAAGTACTCGACGCCGCGTTTCATCTGTGTCCGCGCAGCAAATCTACTCATCCATACACACATGGTGCAGTGCGCTTCTACGTCACCACGTCCATCAACCCTGTCCGCATTTCCACAAGCACGCTTTACAAGACACCGCGGGCAGCTCGAATGTTTGGCACGGCCTCCGCCAGCGCCACGATCCACACGCATACGTCTGACCACCTGCGCCCTTGTCCGACCCCGGTCATCCCTATCTTTTAATCCTTCTTTTGTACCGTCTCGTTAGCGATGGCAGGCAAGAATGTATGTGTACGCTAGTGTAGTGAAGGACGCTATCACTTGGGTGGCTGAACTATTTTGGAAGGAGGAATTTTGGTAGCTTGCGCTTTGATCACCAGATCGTTCTTATGAAAAAACGTCCAAATGATCTGAAGACTCATTCCATTAGTAATATCTTTCACATCCAGGAAATTATGCGTCTCCTACATTTCCTCTCTTTCGTCTCTCTTTCGAGTGCCTTTCTTCTTCCTTCCCTCCCCTCCTCTTCCTCCCCGCTGTCAAAACGGGGCCGGGCTCTGGCGTCTTCTGCTTCCGAAGAACTCTCTCGAAAGGAAAAAAGCAAGGAGCAAGTCCGTTCGCTTTTGAAAGGATTGGGTGAATTAGACGATGAAGACGGCCCCAGCGAAAGCGGAAGCAGCAAACGCAAGGTAAGAGGATTTTATCGGGCTGACGTGGGCGAGCGTACAGGTGTGGGTTACCTGTGTTCGAGCGACTCTCGAGCAGATTTCACTTTTCATGGGCCATGCTTCTCTCTTATTGATGTATGCATCATCGATATGACATAATGTTAATGCAACGATCTTGCCATTTCATGATGGCCCAGGAAAAACGAGAGGGAGTGGACGCCGCCAGGCGGGCATTAGCTGACAAGGATAAGATGAAATTGGAGCCGGAATCCGTCTTCTTCGAGGGAGCACCGCATTGGAGTGAGGTAAGAAATGTCTCCATAGAGAGTTGAAAAACCACAAGCGGAAAGCCTACGATAGTACAGCATGGCGGCGCACCCACGGCTCTCAGCGCCCGAGGCGTCGATCGGTTGCCCCCTGCCCTGTCGACTCTAAACCCCCACCGTCCCTCTTTACCTTAGGTGGTAGTCCCTGCCATCTCCATCCTCACCGTCATCGGCATCATTCCCTTCGCGTCCTCCGTTGCGCGACAGATTTGGGTGAGGAAGGAAGGGTGGGAGCGGAGAGTGAGAGGGAGGAAGTGACTTCTCGGGTGGGGCCCGGGGCGTCACCGCGACCCCTCCTTGCACTCGTCATCTCTCCCCACACTCATCGCCTTCCTCTTATTGACTATTATGTACGGGTATAAGGTCAAATATAAGATCACCTCGCGGCGAATTTCTGTGACCAGCGGAGTGGGTGGGAAGGACTTGACTGAGGTAAGGGAAGGGAGGGAGGTAGACAAGGAAGTCAAGAGCGTGCAAAAAACATACCATTCACGAGTGCGACTGTATGCTTAAACAAAAGGAATATCATTCTCGATAGTAGGCATCTCACTGATCTGCTCTTCCTTTCTCCCGCCCCCCCCTCCCTCTCTCTCCCCCCCTCCCTTCTTCCCTTACTGCCTAGGTCATCTACGCGGACATCG